TGGCAGTATTAACATACAAACTGTTTATCCTTTAGTCTGGTGATGAAAACTACTTATTTTTTTTAAATATATAAAATAGAACACATTGAGCAACTTTTGTGTTTGCATTTCCTGCTCTTCGTGTTCATTGTTCAATTTTTCCTGCAGCTTTTGAAAGTCTGCATAAATAAGCTGTCCTTAGGAATTATACATATCACACAAAAGGTGCTTTTCATTTTCTAGCCTTCTGCTCTGTTTCACAAAGACTTTTCAATCTTCCCACAAATGTATTTTTACCTCATCCAAACTGAGAGACACGTTGCTACCACACTTTAGGTCCAGACCAAACTCCACTCTGGTTCAGGGCAGTTGGTGGTGACAACAAAAACAGACCCTGAGGAAATACCTGACCACAACCATGAGGGTTTCCTTTAAAATGTTCACAATAAAGGAGACCTTTTCAATTAGAGAATTCTTTGGGTGAGCGTAGGCTGATGTTTGGGATCTTGGGTGGGATATAATGCTAGACTGAGAGGCCTTTTTCAGGCTTGGCATCGCTACGAGGTCATGGTGGGTTTGGCTGGTGCTGATATGTTATGGGCAAAGCTAGAATTTGCATTGGATACTGCAGACAAACTGTGGCTATAGTCCTCAGAGAAGAGATGGAGCTTTCAAACGGCCCAACATTTCTAGTAAGAATTCAATGATTTTAAGAATGTAAAAGAAAAAGACTCAACAGAGTATATGAAAGGGGATGTGACTTTCTCCTAGTGTTAAGAAAATGCTTCTCACATTAAGAAAAGATTAACATAATAACATTTTTATTTTTATTTTATTTTAGTTAATCAGGACTTAAATGTGTTAAATTCTGAAAAGCTTTTCTTCTTTTTTATTTATTTTTTTTTTTAAGTGTCCTGTCTCTCAATGTGGCAATAGGAATTGTTGTCTTAATGCCAGGAAGAGCCCAACAGATTTTACTCTCATAAGTGGAGCATTATCGCTTTTGCCATAGTGCTCTGCTTAATTGATATATGGAAATAATTTCATCATGGTTTATGTAGGGCATAATTCATGTTATCTCGACACTTCAAACAAAGCTTTTCCACAAATACAAATTTGGATAACAACAACGCACAGACAATATACACCATATTATGGCTTTAGATTTTTACACAGCAAAAGGGGAACTGCACCCTTTGTATTTCGTGAATATGCCTGAGTGTGGCATTTGCCAAGTGGTTTTGATTGGTTATCTTCCCCACAAACCAAATGGTCCTTTATGAGTTGGATATAAAACTTCCAAAAGAAAGGATCCAGGCTAGTAGTAGAATACTGGAGAGAACATGGTAGGCCACATCCTGGTAATTATTTTCTTGATTCCTTATGTAAAAGCCTTTTAGTAAAAAGGAAAAAAAGAACAAAAAAAAAGCAAAATGCTTAATTTTCAAGAGTCATCCAACAGTGTTTTATCTCTCCAATAGAAAACAGACCGATTAGTACTTTGGCTCTTGGCATCCAAGTGACTCTGGCACATCATCCATGAGACCACAGCTTCTCATTTTACATTTTGCTCTACAGATGGCGAAAGCAGCATTTAAATGTGTTGACAATTAAAATTTACAGGGTTGTTAGGGGAAATTTGTACCTTCTTAAAGGGATCTTAGGGTAAATTAAGCTGAAGCTAGTATTATTTCTTTTAGATTTGGCTTGAATCCTTCAGTGAATCATTCTGTCATCGACCTACAAACAAAGGAAAAGGTCATCCTGCCTTTAACACATTATAGCTTTGTCCTTCTTATGCTATATTTTACAACCAGAGCAAAGTTTACTGTCTTGGAATCTTCTACTAACATAAAGATTTAACCATTAAGCTCTAGCTTGACAGTTTTGTTTTTTCCAGTGTCTGGGTTTTGTACCGCCAAATGTATCAGTTTAAAAAAATTATCTATGTTCTATATGTCTTATTATAGTTAAACCTCCAACAACATTGGGGTAAATTTAATACAAATCCACCCATCCAGTGTGAAGGAATGGTTGCATAGTTTTGGAAAAATTTCTCCATGAAACAACCTTAGAAAAAGGAGCTTAAAGTTAAATTGTGATTGATATATTTGGACAGGTGGGCGATCCTTAGTGAAATGGAAAGTGCATGCAGAGTTGCAGACACATTCTCAGCTGTTCCTGTATAACTTATATATCCAGTCTGTTATTCCCAGTGAGACCAAACCATCTGCATTGACACTTTTGTTCCACTGTCAGAGACTGTAGGAGGGCTGTGGTTTGGTGAAGATGGAGTGAGTCAGTACCAGTGTGTCTATGAGGATTGTGGTGTTTTTGACAACTTTGAGGGCACAAATGAAATGGAACTTCTTCAATTAATCTTGCTGTAAAAGCTCAATCTGTACATTACAAGAAAAAGTATCCTTTCTATTCTAAGGCAGTGTTTAAAAGCAGAAAGCTAGAGTTGTATAAATAGAGAACATCTTTGTCAAACTCCGGGGTGTCCCTAGCCTTGAGTCGGCACTGCATTGATGTGGGCAGGACTAATGGGGGGCCAGTTGGGGAGATGGCCCCCAGGGGGATTCATGCAGGCGGCTTGGCGCCCGTCCCTTCCTCCTTTATATTTAACACATGCAACACCACACTTCAACAGAGTCTTGATGTGTGAGCCTGGCAGGCATCATGAGAGTACCATCCAGTGTTCTGGGCAAGTCCTTTGCTCTGGAAGAATGTGGTGTGGCTTGGACATGGGGACTCATTGCCCCAAGTCTCACCCTGTGCCCCTTTGGCCCTTGGCTGTTTCTGTTCCTCGTTGACGAAAGACACCATGCTTCTGTGCACGGGTGTCTATCTTGATGTCAGGCTTTGTGTCTGTCAGCAAGGGCCTGCAGGAAAGCAGCCACTCTATAGGAGATGCATAAAAGCACAAAGCACTTAAAACAATGGAAAAGAGAAAAGGATAATGTTCACTCATGAGTTATTTTGACTCTAATGCCTTCATACCTAACTCAGCAATACATTTAAGAGCATCATTTCCTTCATATATTAAATATATATATATATATATAAATATATATATATATATAT